TTGACCTCCTTACATCTCGAACTATAGATTTACCCATATAAGAGTTAGTATTCAAATATCCACTTAATCTCCTTTGTATAACTATATTCAATCTCATTAGCAAAGAATATATGTAGCATATGTGGGATGAATGGTGATCACTTAAAGCTATATGTAATACTTTTGCACAAGAAAGATCCAACTATTTAAAAATTATCACTCCTTACTCTCAAGAAATCCACTTCTCTTTATAATCAAGGATACAATAAGAGTTGGGTGTGGCATATGGTCCATGGAAATGAGTACAAGCCACTTCTCCAATGCTGCCAAATACATCATTGATCTCAACCTCCAAAATCACAGAAACTAAAATATTAATAACAAATATCCCTCATAATTCCCCTTAAGCAAACAATTCAACTCTTCTTCTCACGCCAGCCCATTAAGTGAGTTTGTATCTACGTAGCCTCACCTTCAGCAATTACACTGTTATCAATTGAGTTATCTCAAGTAAAACCTAATTGAATTGACCAACTAGATAATACATATCCCACTTAAACACTTTAGCTCTTTTAAATAAACAACTATTAGCCCTACCCCCCTCTTTCATCTATATAAGTAGGAAACATAAAAATCTTTATTATTCTCTTCCTACACGCAATAGTCTTAATGATTTTTTCAAATATTACTTCTTGGAACGTAAAAGAGCTAAATGGATACTTGTAGTCTCTTATTGAAGGAAGTTGACTATTGATAATGACATTATTATTTTTAGCATATTTCAAGCTAAATGCCTCTCCATAATATTTATGGCTCTCTTACCCCATGAGATTAACACTCTTTCAATATGAGGGGTGTTATGTAATTTCCACTTGAGTAATGGTGAAAAAATTTGGATCAACTGGAATAATGATAAAGCTAAGTTCACTATTATCTTATCTCATCTTTAATTTATACATGGTAGACTCAATTAATATTACATTATTAATTTCTTCATTACATTTATTATGTTAAAAATGGAGCCCTTGAAAGGAAATTTCTTTGTAATGTTATACAAAATTCATGTTTGAATATTATAGAACCTTGATTATTATCAGGAGACTTCAATAGAATTAGCAAAGTCAAAGTTAAGATTGTAGGCAAACATTTTATTCTTAACAATATGATTTATTTCAATAAATATATATTTAATACAAGTTTGGTAGAGTTGTCATATTTTATATTTTTTAAAAAGAAAATTTTAATAGAAATATGTATTATTATTATAACTGAAATACTTATTACTAGTATAACAGAAATACTTATTGTTGTTGTAATAAAAATACTTGTTCTTGTGACGGAAATACTTATTGCTATTTTATGACCTAATTTGAAAACATTTAAATTAATTATCATAACATTTATAAATAAAATTGTTATCTTTTTCTAATCTATATAAGGCATTTTCGGGTATGATGAATTTGAAAATTTTCTTCACTTCATCATTCTCTCCACCTTATATATATTCAAAGTACATATCTATATCATTATTCATGTTTCCCGTTGTGATCATTACAAAAAGTCCATTGAATTCTGAGAGTTAGACCCATGTGTACATTTGCACCTGGGAGGAGCAGAAATTTAACTTTAAGAATAGTACTTCATACACCATGGTCTACTTATTTTATAAGTTTTCAAATTTCAATTGTCTTACAACTCATCTATTTTTACAATAATATTAAAGTTAGATCATATGGATTCTATAATGATTAGCACAGCTAGAATAATTTCAGACTTAACAAAAATCGAGGCTTTTGTGGGGACAAAATTTTAATAAGCGGCAAGCAAAGGTTTAGTTTATCATTGATATTGCTAAAGTTGATCATATACTTACTTCATTGTCCCCTTCTATGGGAACAAAAAATTATGATACCATTCTAGCTAATTAAAATAATGCAAATAAGATTTACAAGGCAATTATTCTTTCTACTTTATCAAATTAGTTATTTAATGTCTATTATAAAATTGAGTATGTTTCTGAAATTTGGAAAATATTAGGTAAGAAATATGTGCTAGAATATGCAAGATCCAAGAAGTACACTGTAGAAAATTCCTTGGCCTTTTAGACGAATCACTTAAGGAAATATCTGCTCATATATATGATTTTCATATTCTTATTAGCGTACTTATGAATGAAATAATATTAGGAATAAACATAAAAAATGAGTTGATGGAATTATAATTTCTCAATAATATTTTGTAAATTATATGCTTATTTTAGGATCTGAGTCCTAAAATTATATAAACTAAATATTTTCTATCTTATCATTTATGACTCATTTATTGTGGTTATTCTTCTATTCTTGAAGGATATAGTGATGCTAACTAGATCTTTGATTCTGATAAAATAACATCTACTAATGAATATATTTTTAATTTGGGTGGTGGAGCTATATTTGGAAGTCTTCTAAACTGACATGTACAACTCGATCCACTATGGAAGCAGAATTCAATGCTTTAAAAAAGCAGGAGGTGAAACATAATGGCTTAGAAATCTCTTAGCTAATATTCCAATTTTTTAGGGACATATCTCATTAATGTCTCCATGTTGTGATTGCCAAGTTGCAATAGCTAGAGCTAAAAATTAAATATATAATAGGAGACATATTCACCTAAGCCATAATATTGTGAAGTAATTACTTAAATTTTGTGAGGTCAGAGATGAACTTAGCAGATCCTCTAACAAAATCACTTGGAAGGAAGCAAGTGATGGACACATCAAGGGGAATTAGACTTTTGCCTATAAACAAAAGTTGATATTGATGATTACCCAAACTTTTTTTATGCAGATCCCATAAAATATAATTAGATGGGAAGAACAAGCCATTAGTCAACTTGGTAGATTATTCAAAATAAATATTATGGTCCATTCCAATAATATTGAATAATATAATTTATAGTGATATAGAGGTTGAGTTTTTACTCTTAATGAATTCATAATTCTTTTAAGTTATTGTATTTATTATGAAGCATAACTAATGAATTCACATGTATGAGTGTAAAGGTAGACTGTCTTTTATGAGAATATAGGCAATTCTCTGGAGCACTCATGAAACTCAAATTCAAACGCATGACCATAAAGCGTCAAATTGTGATGAATGCCTATCATTTATTTGATGTAATGTGGGTGGATATTCTTTCTTATGCTGAAGGAATCAAGTTCATAAAAATATTAAATTTCACTTTGTTCGTATAAGTAAGGATTTTTTTATCCTAAAACATTGGTTCATAGTCCAAAAGACATCAATGTCTATGCATTATATATTTTGCTCTGAACAAACTCTTATTCTAAATTTTACTTTTCTTTTGAAAATATGAGGGGTTGTTATATTTCATATTTATTCAAAAGAAAATTTGTAACGAAAATACTTATTATTGTATAGCTTAAATACTTATTATTGTTGTAACAGAAATACTTGTTGTTGTAACGAAAATACTTATTATTCTAACAATGAAAATGATTATTGTTATTTTATGACCTGATTTGAAAATATTTAAATTAATTATCCTGACATTTGTAATTAAAACAGGTATCTATTTTTGGTCTATATATGACCTTCTTGGTTATGATGGATTTGAATATTTTCTTCTATTTATCATTCACTCTACTTTACATTTGTTTAGAGCAAATATCTACATCGTTGTTCCTGCTTCCTAGTGAGATTAGTGCAAATCACCGTGAAAAGTCCATTGAATCATGAAATTTAGACTGTTGTGTACCATTGCACCTGGAAGAAGCAAAAATCTAACTTTAAGAATAATACTTCACACACCTCTCTCAACTTATTCTATAAGTTTTTTTAAATGCAACTGTCTTACAACCCTTCTATTTATACAACAATAGTTGTGTAATAAAGGCCTTTCCCATAGTTATTTCGATCATTAATTAATTGAAAATCCTATTAAATGCCACCTTAACTTGAACTTTTATAATTTTAATTTGATGACCACCTTCTTATCTATTTCATGTAAATTATTACGCACTCTATCTTCTCATTATTCAATTATTTTGATTAAAGTTAGACAATTCCCTAGAAATTTATGTATAAAAATTTTTGAGCTACTATACTAATTAATTTTCCTAGGCTTTTTAAAATACATAATAGATTCATGAAAGTGGTGATCCGATCTTTTTGCTTTTGTGACTTAGAATATTAAGCCAACCTTAAAAGGGAATATTTGGTCAAAATTCAATTCCATTGCAACTGTAAATTGTAATCTCAAAATTTAGCAATCGAATGATTTGTCATCTTGAAGCACATATTCCTGACCTCAATCGTCTTAATCAAGCTATCAGCATTGAATGGATTAGGCTGTGTGATTGGATCACCAAGGTTGATCATGGCATTAAATTATTCTATAATAAACTTAAAGATAGGAGAAATTGCAATCATATCAACAAGCTTAACACTTCTAATATTTCTGACCTCTCAAGCTGAACAAATTATTTTATGCAAACATCAAACCGTCCAAAGGTGAATCAGAACGCACCACATGATATAATTCGCCTACAGACAACGCCCATATCCGCACAGAATAATTTCACCTCAATTTGGTATTACTAATTAAGCCATAAATTATTTATCATAGATCATTAGCAATATGCTTCCCCTTTGATCATTCCAATCCAATTAATGTTTTTACTTCAAATGAATAAAGAAGCCATTATTTAGATAAGAGTAAATTTTCATACAAGGTCTCTAGATAGAGTAAATAATTTTCATCACTCTCTCTCTCTCTCTCTCTCACTTCCAACACTTACCACCAACTCTCAAATTAGGACTACAAACGAACTAAGACTTTGTTTGGGATGGCTTTCAAACTGCGCCTTAAGAGCAGCTTTTAGTACAAATTTTTTTATTTTTTTACTAAAAAGCTACTTTAAGAAGTAGTAAAAAAATCGTCTCAAATAAAGTCTAACTCAAGTCAAGCAATTGATTGTTAATTATGATTAATTAAAATAGAAAATAGACAAAATACAGTTGAACAACATAGACCAATTAACCCTATGCAATTAATGAAATATCAGCATACATGACAATCAAAGTACAAATTACTATATGAAAACAAACTACTCATTTTGGCCCAAAAATAGTATAAATTTCCAGCATTTGCCACAATAATACGTTTTCACGCTCACATTTGTTAAAATGTGAAAACAATAAAATGCAGCAGTTTGATAAGATAATACTTCATTTCTTTAGACTTCTTTCAAGTCTCTCTATTGCAGCGCCAACAGCACTTGTGTTCGTTTCCCCAGTCCTATCAGACCGTAGGATCTGTTCATTTGCCTTCTCAACAAGCTTAATATGAAGCCATCCTGAAAAAACAGAACCCCACAGTTAAACAGGACTGCTACACATAAAAAATTATTTAAAAAAAAGCATAACATAAAATAAATGAAGTAAAAAATTATTTTCCCTAAAATTAGTTAACACTGTAATAGAGGGCAGATAGGATTCATAGCAAAAAATTTGAGTCCAGGTGCAATTCTCTTGCGTGCAAAACAAGCCATAAAATGTTGTTTCAAGATAGATAAAGCAGACATACAACTTTTCGAATAGAGTATAAGAGGGGAGACTAAGGTTTCGTCTTGGACAGCTTTCTCGAATATGTACTATAGAGTTGTTTCAAAAAACAGTAAGAAAACTGTCCCAAACGAAGCCTGAGGATTTAATTAGGACAACTTATTGACTACTTTACTTTTCAAACAAAAATCATAATTTTGTTTGGCTATATTTTCTCATTGTTTTTTAAAAATTTGTGACGAATTTATTTTCTCCACGATAATTTCACAGCGAACTTTATAAAATGTTGTCGTCGTCCCAAACAAACCCTAAAAGCAATGACTGTATAAGTTCCATTATAATTTAGAGGGTGAAAATATAGAGGTGAGACTTTCAAACCTCTTCAAGTATAGAATAAGATCATATAACTTCAATTAGCAGAGTCTTATCATATATATATATTAGTGTTAAAAAGTTGTGTTGTTGCATCACTGATTGGTTCATGCCAAATTTGTAGGGACTTATATTCTTCGTTTACCATGGCTCAATTGCTTCGGCCAAGACATGGAATAACAAACATCGGAATTGAAAATATTTTGTCATGGAGAATGAAGTACATGGTCATCATTTCCTAGCATTTTATAACCATATCATTCTGTTTTTATTGCATCTTATATGTATATTTTGCTCAAATAAATAAGAAAATCTACTGTGATCCAAAAAAAAAAGGAGTAAGAGATGCATTCACTAATTACCAAGAGGAAAACAAATTCCTGCTCCAAGTGTAGAGCCAAGCAAGACATTCCTAGCACGCCATTTTAAGGAACCTGGCACTGCATCAATAAAGAGAAAATGTTGAAATTACACATGATTTCGATTTCAATGGCTAGTCATGGCAAATATATAAAAATCCAAAACTAAAATGATTTTATCAAAAACAGTTTAGCTTCTTTCCTTGAATGAAACATAAGGCTAGGAGCAAAATATCAGCATTTGAGATGCAAATTAAATTAGAGATCTCTAAGAAAATTTAGAAAGAAAACAAATTGAGCTAAAACAAGATCCGAAAGTACTGAGTCTGAAGTTTTTGGAAGTTGGCACAATGAGCGAGGAATGCTAGTAAACAAGATGTCAAAGAACCCCAGAACAAGACCAAAAATAGAAAGACAGTATGAAACTTTTCAAATTATCCTTTCACTTTATAAAGGCAAATTAAGATGCGAAAATTTTTGTAGCAGGACTTGATGACATAAATTCACATCAGAATGGCTTCATTAAACAACAATTCTTCACAGTTGAAAAATATGAAGATATCTGATAACAAAATAGAAGACGGGATCTCATTTATTGAAGATATATTTGATCATATTAAAATAGAAAACATTTGCTAAAAAGGTGGAAGGTAGAATACAATTTATAGAAGACATTAGATGACCACATGACACGCAAAACACCTAACGAAACCATTTTGATGTAAATTTATATTAGGATATTGTAATAAAAAATCTTCCCATTTTGATGACCATAGACTACTCAATTCCCAGATTAATGAAGATGGATGGAATTAGAATTCTGATGCATCATGAAATTTAACAAAATATCCATGTGTAAAGATAGTATCATGTGTCATAAACAGAACAGTGAAGTCTAGATTTGAATAAGAACTCACATATCAGGCCAAACATAGCAGCTGTGGCTGAACCAGCTCCAGCAACATTAAATGCATCATGAACTCCACGACTATCGGCAAGAAGGTTAAGTAAACCATAGAATGTCGCAGTAAAAATGCCAAGGCGAACACCACCAACTATAGAACCACGAGCAACTTGAATGAACCTTTTCTCCATTGCATCTCTCATCAACTGGTACTGCTCACGCTTATCTGTTGTACTTCCAAGCTTTAGCATGACTTCTGCATCCTTGCTCTGAGAACATGAAATATACAAATTTTTGTTAGACATGAAACAAGCTTATTTGCAAGCTAAAACATGCCGCATTTCTAAAGCCAAGTTAAATTTCCATGGAGCGCATTATAAGGTAATAAAATACAACACCAAGTAGCTGGAATAAGGCTAATGAGGTCGAGAACACAGGATGTTTTTCATTATCCATAGAAAATGATGCAGCACAAAAAATTAAATTTAGCTTAATTTAAGGTTTATTTCAATAGTTTGATTTAAATTAGATGTTAGATTTAGTTTATTTATTTACCAGATAAATTATCCTTTTTTAGATAATCCTTAGGTTTAAATTTGAATTAGGATTTGATTTGATTTCTATCAGATCTTTATCACCCTATTTCTATGACAAGGGATAATTGGAATGTGTTTTGAAGAAGTAAAGAAAGGGTTCAATTAGAGCCTATTCTCTTTTATACCTTCTTTGCTTTCCCACTACGGGCTCAGGCTTATGCCCCGATATTGCTCGGCATAATTTGGAATCAATGCCCAATGTCAATTCCATTCGATTGGGCCTAGCCATTTCAAAGCAATCATGAATACAGCCATTTCGTGTCTGTCTCACACAACTGCCCTTCACCAAAAAACTTCCTTAGCAGCCCTCTCGCTATCTCATCACCGATGCGTCATTATCATATGCCTTACATCACGCCTTTGCTGCAGCTGTAATGTCCTACTTCACCACACTGCAACTTGTCCTCGAGTCCACTCATGTCAACAAGCTCGCCACTACATGCCTGCACTATGTTGCAACACTACATATGTTCTTTACTGCCCACACTTCCTCAGCTCATTATTCAAAATCATTAATAGAATATCAATTTTTTATTTTTATATTGCCTAGTGATAAGAGTCTCTAATCCTATCCTCAGTTTTATAAAACTCTTTAATTGATATCATGATATTGATACAACAACAAAAAATTGAATATTTCAAGTTGAATAACTTAAATCTAGAAGATATATGACGAATACAAAAGCAAGCCAATAGAGTTCCAAAATTCACAATATTCACAACGTAGTAAATGTTAAAATTTTTGGCATGTTTCATCATGCACATAATCATATCCATGGGAAAATTATTTGAATAGAATTTAGATCTGACTAGAGATGTTTGGATGAAGTATTGTTTGAAATTTAACTTTTCAATGATGATTTTAAAGAATCTTTCAATTTTTACTACAGATCATATTTATAAACCAATTTTATAACTTCAAATGTTCCAAAACTAGTAACAATTTCATACGTGCATATGTGCCAATTCCTCAAGGCCAAAAGCCCAACCTTTATTTTGAGTTAATCCATGGCCAAATTTACATCCATTATACTTCCTATTTGTTGTAAATTTTCCAATTGAAACAGCGATGAAAAACAAGCCTTTATGCAACAATGTGATGCATGCCATCCAGACCAGTCATCTACTGCTAAAAGATGACATCACTGTTCCAGAAACTTCATATACCAGACGTTCAATTTGCAATGTATGCCAGCCGCAGTAATACATTAATGGTCAATCCATAACGGCATCATCCCCCGTAACAATCTCTTTGACAACCAAACCTATTTTTCAGCTCAAATCCTGGACTTCCAAATGTGCTCAATCACGATTCACATACAACTGAAATAGTTGAAAGGAAACTCCGAGGACTACAGAACAACGAAGTAACATGGAAAAAGAAAAAAACATGCAGTGAAACATTGATTGAATATTCTTAAAAGAAAACTCTCAACTAATTCTCTCTTAATTATATATCTGTGTGTAGGGGTGTCAATTTCGGGTCACGGGTCGGACCCGGAACTGACCCGGGTTCAAACGGGTCGACCCTAACCCGACCCGGTTAGGCAAACAGGTCGAAAATCCGAACCCGAACCCGACACGGCGGGTTGTCGGGTTGACCCGACACGGAACCGATCGGCAGCGAGTACGCATCGCGGAGCGGCAGCAGCGCGCGCATTGCGCGAGCGCGGCAGCGCGGGCGGGGCGCGGCATCGCGGGAGCGCGGGCTGGCTCGGACTGCATGTTTCGGGTCAAATGGGTTGACCCGGCAACCCGTCGGGTCAACCCGAACCCGACCCATTTTTCAAACGAGTCGATTTCTGGAACCCGAACCCGACCCGTTTGAATTCGGGTCGGGTCCAACCCGGTATTTTCGGGTCGGGTCCTGGTGGGTTTTTCGTGTCGTGTCAAATATTGACACCCCTATCTGTGTGCAAGAAAAGGATCTTGAAGGCTGAAGGAAGACGATGTTAGACCGGTCCAGGCGGGACCGGTACACGGGCTAAAATCGAAACAGGCGGAGAACGAGCGGCCCGTCCACCCCTGTAGAGCTGTTTAGGAAGTTTTTTTGAGCATTTTGAGAGGGAAATTTGAACGTAGGGACTGTTTAGGGAATTCCTTTTGATTTGTATGCATTAAATAGTTGATTTGGCTAGGGTTTGAGTATCTTGAATTTGGCTGAATTTGAGATCTCTTAGATTTAGATTTTCTTTGGGCTCTAGCGGTGTCTAGAGATTTGGGAGAGATCGATCCTCCTCTCGAATTGAGGATCAATTGTATCTTGCTATTTTATTCATCATCTAGTGGAATAAAGCTTTTCTTTGAGTTTTCTCTCAGATTTCCTTGTGGCTTTGGCTGTTTTTTCCTGCTGTGGACAGCAGTTTTTGTTGTTGAATGTTCGCCGATTTTGGTTAGGTTACTTGCGAACTCAAGTATTTCCTATCAAATTGGTATCAGAGCATCGATTTAGGGCCATCGGCGGCTGAAATTCTGAAATTTCAGCAAGTTTATCGTTTCCGGAAGAAGATTTTTTGGGATCCGTTAGAAGAACGATGGCCGGAAAGAAGGTTGACGTCTTGGAAGGCGAAGTCGGCAAATTGAAAGCCGATTGGAGGAAAGATTATTCAACCTTCAAAATCAAATCACCTCCAACAATGAAAGGTTGGAGGGGAAGTTCACCGCAATGAGGAAATGATGAAGAAACTACTTGAGATGAAACCAATCCGGTGACATCGGAAGTAAGAGAGACCACCGACGGCCATGGCATGGGAGGAAATCCGAACCCCTTGGCGGGGGAGGAGAAATTCGGAGATGGAGATCTAGAGGAAGAGAACGACATGCCTCCGCTAGAGCCCCTTTCGAGGAAGAGATGAGCATAGGATATGACAGAAGGGGGGCTGATTTTGGTGGGAGAAGAGAGGGATCGCATCGCCGAGGTACTGAATTCGAAAGAATTCAGCGTCGAGGGGGATTTTGAAGGAAGAGGGAGGAAGTCATCGTCGAGGTGCTGAATTTGAAGGTATTCAGCGTCGAGGTGATGATGTTGAAGGGAGGATAGGTGAGTATGAAGAGGGGTTAGAGTATATTCGTCGGAGGGACGATCGGGGCAATTGGGGAACGCCTCCTCTGAGGGGAATGGGAGGCTATGGAGGATACTAGGGAGATCCCAAGGTGAGGAAATTGAAGATGCCGTTTTCGAGGGGGAAGACGGCCATGGCTGATCTAAAGGTGGAGCGTTACTTTGCGGTCAATGGGTTGACAGAGGATGAGAAGCTGACGGCGGCAGGATTGTGTCTGGAAGGAAAGGCTTTGTCATGGTATCAGTGGCGTGACAGGAGGGAGCCTATCAGGAAATGGAGGGAATTCAAAAACTGCATAATAGAACGTTTCCAAACCGACCGGGGAGGAGATTTCTATGAGCAATTCTTTGATCTGGTGCAGAAGGGATCAGTAGCAGACTACCGTGAGCGGTTCGAGCACCTGGCTAGTAGGGTGGAGCGATTATCGGATAGCGTATTGGAGGGGAACTTCATGAAGGGGTTGAAGGCAGAGATCCGAGCGGCAGTTAAAGTTCTGATGCCTAGTGATTTGGAGGAGGCAATGAAGTTGGCACAGCTGGTAGAAAATCAGAAAAATCTGGAGAAGGAGCAAGGAGCCAGCAGCTCAGGAGGCTCTTACAAGACTACGATCACTCTTTTAGCACCAAAAGGGCCTGCATCAGTCAACAATAATGAGATCACCATGGAGAAGCCAATAGGAAGAGGGAGTGAGGATAACTTCAAGAAGCTCACTGAGATCAGAATTAACAGGAGAAGAGGGCAAAAGGGCTTTATTTCAGATGTGACGAGAGGTATACGCCGGGGCACAGGTGTAAGGACCGAACTCTTCAAGTTCTTACTGTTTGTGATGAAGAAGGAATGGAGGTGTCCGTCTTTCCATCTTGCGGACAAGGTGGATCTTTGGGAGGGAAGTATTGTTAGATCGGTGCTCACTGGAACCCGTCAGGCGGGACCGGTTCATGGGCGAAAATCGCAAATAGGCGGAGAACGAGCGGCCCGTCCGCCCCCGTAGAGCTGTTTAGGAAGTTTTTTTGAGCGTTTTGAGAGGGAAATTTGAACGTAGGGACTGTTTAGGGAATTCCTTTTGATTTGTATGCATTAAATAGTTGATTTGGCTAGGGTTGAGTATCTTGAATTTGGCTGAAATTTGAGATCTCTTAGATTTAGGTTTTCTTTGGACTCTAGCGGCGTCTAGAGATTTGGGAGAGATCGATCCTCCTCTTGAATTGAGGATCAATTGTATCTTGCTATTTTATTCATCATCTAGTGGAATACAAGCTTTTCTTTGAGTTTTCTCTCAGATTTCCTTGTGGCTTTGCTGTTTTTCTGCTGTAAACAGCAGATTTCTGCTGTGGACAGCAGTTTTGCTGTTGAATGTTTGCCGATTTTGGTTAGGTTACTTGCGAACTCAAGTATTTCCTATCAGACGATCAGAAAAAAGGAAATAAAAGGTACAGTTGCAATATTACCCACAGATGAGTAAAACAAAATCTTACAACAGATGCAGCTGCCTCTTTGCTTCCTCCATAAAGTATGCCAGCAAGTACCCCCATGACAGTAGCTGCACCCCAATTTCCAGTTCCTAAAAGTCTTGGAGTTGAACGTTCCTTAAATAAAATTTTAGGACATTAAGAAATTAGCTAACTTGTTCACCTGAGCAAATAGTATAGTACAAAATAAAAAAAGTTGGGAATTTCAGAGACCATTTTTCTAGGAAAATGCTGAGTGTGTATAAACAAATTCATGAACAAAAGCATCTCAGTTAATTGTTAATAATATCATCTTTGTAAGCAAATGAGCTAAAATGAAAGGGACAACTTGTTACTCTTTCAACTAAATTTATGCCATACATCTAATAGCAATTTCTGTTCACTAATTATGCAAATTTTCTTAGTATGAAAACTATGTGTCAAAACATCACTACCTAACAATATAGTCATAAAATGAGGAATTTACATACATACTATTACATTTATGTATTTACATATCTAAAACCTAAAATTTTATATTTACTTACAAAACACCTTAGTGTCTAAATCACATCAAAACACATGCTTAAATACGTATATTTCAATTTTGATAAGTTAATAGTAGTGATAGTTTTTATATAAGTAAAAATAAATATTTAGATGTTAAACACATAAATAAATAAAAATTCAGTAGTACGTATGTAAACCCTCCTTTGAATGATGCTAATCAACACAACACTTACAGTGTCTCCGAAGATGCAAATTATCATAGTTCGGACAAACCCTACTTCCCTAAATAAAAGAATATAAGCAGCAAATGAGAGTCCTTTAAATCAGTAGGAATGAACAACTTATTTGATAGTTGTCCTAGCATCATGGAGGAAGCTGCTTCAAAACTGAACAAAATATTTTTAGGAGTGGCATGCACTCTCAAACCTAGAAAAAATCAAAGGATTATTGACAAAAGGTACTTGGAAAATAAGCGTCAAACTCAAATATATGAATCATTGCATTCCTGAGGTACTTAATGCTGTAAAATACAAAATTTGAACAAAAAAAAGGCAGGAGTCGCATTTGTGACTTGAGAAGCAATTACCCCTTCATCCTGTCGTTGATTGGAGTTCTCTGTCTCACTCATGACTATTGATTTGCACAGATACCCCAAAATACTAGCCTTCCTGAAGAAAACCAGGGCGTTAGAAATTTAATTAGATTCATAATCAAGTTACAAATAAGATGGCTGAATGATTAATAGTGGATAGTAAATGGACAACAAAAATTTGAATCCAATACATTGCAGCGGGGCTGAAGGTGATATGTAAGATACTCAACAAAATGAACGTTTGGGGTTCAATTTTAGAATTGATAGAAGACCAAAAGAAACGAGGAATTCAAGATGAGAGTACAATGATTAAGAAATAACAAGAGCAGGGCAAAGTCAACCTGGCCGAGATTCGAAACCTATTTTAGAAATTGAATGTTTGGGATTAAATTTAAGGCTTATTTCAGATAGCTTTTGTACTACTTTATAAAGAAATTTTTTAGTATAAAAATTTTTGAAAAATGTTTTTGAACTAAAAAGTTGTTATAAAAAATAGTAAGAAAGTCATCATAAACAAAGCCTTAATAGCATTCAAAAGCCATTGCAAAGCTAGTAAACTCTCTTTAATAGGAGGTAGGAATCTATGAATATCTCTGACACTTTATTGTTCATTTTCAATGGAAGATGTTAAAAGTCAAAAACTTAATACCTATAGTCTCTTAGACTGCACTTGGTTTATAACATCTATGGACTTTGGATGGGTTATTAGAATTCACAATAATCACATTAATATGAAAGAGTACCATAGTGTTATGATTTCTAGTTCAAGCACTCGATATTTTAAAGTTGCAGAGGACCTGCAACGACATCACAACCACCAGCCAAACAAAAATCGATGCTACTTCAACTTAACTATGAATAGACCTTCTCACAATGACCAGCACCGACATCAAGAATATAATCAATAGCAAAATGGACAAAGAATCACTTTGCCTTATCAACCATTCAATAAAAATATATTCCAGTTACACTTCTTCACAAGTATCATATGTAAAATTAGTAAACGCTTTTTGAAACAAGGAAAAATTTCATTAGCCTCTTCCCATGCATACACAATACGAGACTTGAGATACCTTGAAATATTGTGTTACCCCCATAGATAATAACCATGATACCGAAAATTGTTGATATCTCTACCCAACCTTATCGAGGAACACATCAAAGCAAAAACTCTTAAAGAGTTTTGTGGGCTCCAAAAATTCATGCCCCAATATCTTCGCGCCCTTTTTTATTGACGGGGAGAGTTTTAACTAATTATATTTTGAGATAAATTTATAAGGCAGGATGATTTTTAGATAAGACACTACCCAGAGTTTTCACCCTCATTTTGCGAGGACCTTATGATCTGAGTTGTGGTTTCTCATAGGCGCAAGCCCCTATGGTTGATTACTCTGATAAATAGAGAGAACTTTAGATTAAGACTAGTCGTTTGATAGGCACTAAGTAACATATAGTAGCATCAACTTTCAGAGTTTCGAACTTAATTTTTTTCTAAGATTTGATGTTTATCATCATACTTAAAGCAGGTGATGGGTGAATGATGATGGGTCGGATCAAGATTTAATGGTGATCAAGATTTCATGGTTGCATCGTCTCGGAGTTCAGCGAAGTCAGCTTGATTTTCCTTGAGTTGTTGATTAATTGTGTTCATTTGACCTACCAACAGATCTAGAGTCCGGTGAAATTGTTCAGGGTCCATCCTAATATTTAGGGCGATTCAGAACTATGCAGAAGTGAAAGAAAACAATATGCAAACAAAACATGCAAGATGCGATTTAGATGCTAAACATATAGGAAAAGTTTTTCTAATAGGCACATAAATGCAACCATACTCTAAACTAGATGATGTAGGACTATGAATATTGTAAATGATGGATATAAGAATTTGCACGCTTTCACGTAAGAACAATAAGAATTAAAAGGTTAGCCGCTTATCGAAAATAGAAAACAAGGGGTGCCTTAGCTTAGGCCAAGTCACACAATAATAGTTAGGATCACAAAACAATTATAAAATTCAACATAAGCAAATATAGAGGATTTTCAATAACATCCCTCGATTAACAACGAGATTAGATGCATAAAAGTCCATCACTCATTCCCTACATTTACTAAGCTTTGGCGGAGTGTTGCAAGATTTACATGAATCAATCAAAACCACAAGTAAGAATCAACGATGAAGGAATGAGGGAAGGAAAGAGTTCACCTTTGTCAAGATTAAACTTGAGATAAAGTTGTAAGAAGCAAATTCTAGAGCATGGACAGCTGCTTGACGAACGTTCTGTGTGAAGACTACACTTAGAAACCTTCCCGCAAGCTTGGATGGCAGATGGTGGCTGCAGGAGCCTTTGGACAGCACACTTCTATGTCCAAAAAACTCTGGACAGCAAACTAACCAATCCTGTAATGCTGGACAGCATTCTGGCAACTTCTGGACGGAGGACAGCCAACTAACGTGGTCTGGATTCTTTGGACAGCAACTTGAAATCTATGGACAGCAGCTCCAATACTCAGGACAGCAAATATAACCTGTCCAGAAATCTGGACAGCAAGTTGGAGAGGAGAATTTTAGGGGTTTCCCCCTTATGGATGCACGAGAGCTAGGAGGATGAGGTGGGGAATTATGTTGACAGTCGTAGAGAATATCCTCGAGTTAATTTCCCTTGCTTAGGTGGCATGTTAAATCAATCTCAAAATAATTGAAGGGAGGGGAGGAAGGTGTCGGTAATGTGGCAACTTAATTGGGTAGCAATAGTGGAAAGAATTTATTAAGGGGGAGAGAAGAGGGGGCCGGCGGCTTCAAGGAGAGAGGGATTAGGTAAGGGAATTTATGGCTTGCCTAATCAAGGCTCTTTAATTGAGGAGAAGAAATTAAATCAAATCCTATTTGAAATTGATTTAGGAAACATTTCTAAAATAGAGTTCTATTTTTGGAAATAATTCAAATTTCAAATTGATTGAAATTTGAATGTTAAGACTTTTCAAATGGGTTGGGGAGGAAAATGGAAAGTAGTAATGATTGGGTTTTGAATTTGAGCGGCAAGGAGGAAATGGCTATGGCCGGCGGCTAGGCTAGGTTATACCGGAAATGTTAATTCCGGTAAAAAAAAATACGAGTCCGTCGGCGATCTTGATCGGACAGCCAAATTCAACCACCACCTGGAATTTAGAGCAAAAACCAGGATTCAGAACAGGATTCTTGAATCCCAAAGAACTATTAGTTCTAAATTTGATTTATTCCCAAAAACTGCTTCCCTCCAAGCAGTAGAGCCAATTTATATTTATTTATTGGCTACATACTTGGCCACAGCAACAGTCACATTGGCTAATATGAAAATAACAGCAACCAACTAAGTAACTACAAAATAGGCTAAGAATAGAAGAAAAGAAACAGAACATGAATTTTGAAAAGATTCCAGCGATCTTCTACAGCCAGCTGAATGAGCTCCGGCGTCATTCTTCCAGGGTTGGAAGAGCTTCGTTCTCATAGTGGGGAGTTAAATCAGCTACATTGAATACTGCCAAAATGTTGTAATCTCCTGGTAAATCTATCAAGTAAGCGTTGTCGTTGATTCTCTTGACGACACGAAAAGGTCCGTCAGCTCGGGGCTTCAATTTGCTGAAAGCTTTTGCCGGAAAACGCTCTTTCCTCAGTCTGATCCATACCAGGTCTCCTTCTTGGTATATCACCTTCTTCCTGTGTCTGTTAGCTTGCGCACGGTACTTCTCATTCTGTTTAATAATTTCGTCCTGTACCTGCTGATGCAGCTTTTGTATTTCCTTACTTCTCTGTTCCCCGTCAAGATTATAGGCAGTCTGTTGAACTATGGGAATTAAATCCAGCGGTGTTAGAGGATTTCGTCCATATACTATCTCAAATGGACTCCTTCTGGTTGACTGATTGACTGACCTGTTGAAGGCAAACTCGATTTGAGCTAATATTAAATCCCACTGCTTGATATTTCTTCTCACGAAACACCTTAACAGATTTCCAAGGCTCCGGTTGACAACTTCGGTTTGCCCATCTGTTTGTGGGTGAGCAGCCGAACTGTACTGTAAACGAGTACCCAGTTTGCTCCATAAGGTCTTCCAGAAGTAACTCATAAATTTTATGTCTCTATCTGACGTAATAGTCATCGGAATACCATATATTCGAACTATCTCTTTGAGGTATAAATTGGCAATATGACTTGCATCCAAAGTTTTGTGACACGCAACAAAATGAGCCATCTTTGAGAATCGATTTACCACTACCATGATCGAATCCTTGTTGCGTTGAGTACGGGGCAACCCCAACACAAAGTCGAGGCTGACATCTTCCCAAGGGGCCTTCGGAACAGGCAATGGTGAGTATAAACCAGCATTGGTTCCTTGTGTTTTGGCCATGCGACATACACGACATCCCTGCACATATCTTCCAACATCTCTAGACAACAATGGCCAATAAAACTTTTCTTGGATTAAATTCAGTGTTTTGTCTCTGCCAAAATGCCCCATCAAACCACCTTCATGGAATTCGGTTATAATGGCTAATCTGTTAGAACCCCTGGGAATACAAAGACTATGGCCATGAAACAAGTACCCATCCTTGATGTGGAATAGTTTATAAGGCTGATGCAAACATTGATTCCATATTAATTTGAAGTCTGCATCTACGGAATACAGATCTTTGAAATTTTCCATTCCTAGAACTTTAGTTTGTAACGTTTGTAGTAGCAGATGGCATCGGCTCAAAGCATCAGCTGCTTGATTTAAATGCCCGGCTTTATGTTTTATCACATAATTGAATGACGCCAAAAATTCTGACCACGCCGCATGTCTGCCTTTTAGTTTCTTTTGGCTGTTTAGGTAACGAAGAGCTTCATGATCTGTATACAGCACGAAGTCTTTAGCTAATAGATAATGGTTCCAATGGTGCAATGCTCTGACTAAAGCATAGAATTCTTTGTCATATGTTGAATATTTTTGCCGAGCCTCATTTAACTTCTCACTGAAAAATGCAATAGGATGTCCGTCTTGACTCAAAACTGCGCCAATTCCTACATTAGAAGCATCACATTCTACCTCAAAGACTTTATTGAAGTCGGGTAGATTAAGAACAGGAGAAGTTGTAACTGCCTTCTTCAATAGTTCAAAACTGCTTTGGGCACTGCTGGACCAGACAAATGATTCAGATTTCAGGCTCTCTGTAATTGGTGCGGCTATGGAGCTAAAATTTTTAATAAATCTTCTGTAGAAGGACGCCAGTCCATGAAATCTCCTGACTTCGGTAAATGACTGGGGAGTCGGCCAGCTCACAATTGCTTCAATTTTCCTGGGATCTGCTTCGATGCCTGATACCGAAACCACAAAACACAGAAATTCTATTTTGCTGTCCAGAAATTTACTTTTACCAATATGGCCATACAATTTCTGTTCCCTCAGTTTGCAGAGCACTAATCGTATATGCTGTAAATGTTCCTCTATGTTTTCGCTAAAAATTAGTATATCATCAAAATAAACGACTACGAACTTACATAGAAATGGTTGAAATACTTGGTTCATCAGCCTCGTGAAAGTGCTCGGTGCATTCGACAGCCCGAATGGCATCACCGTCCACTCATACAATCCGTCTCGGACCTTGAATGCTGTTTTCCACTCGTCACCTTCTCGCAAACGGATTTGATGATACCCGCTTCTCAAGTCAATTTTTGAAAATACTTTAGCACCATGCAATTGATCAAAGAGATCATCTATGCGGGGAATCGGAAAGCGGTATCGAACAGTGATTTTATTCATCGCTCTGCTGTCCATGCACATTCTATAGGATCCATCTTTTTTTGGAACCAACAATACAGGCACGGCACACGAGCTAACACTGGGTTTAATAAAACCTTTGGATAGTAGATCTTCAATCTGCAACTGTAAATGCTCGTACTCGTCTGGCCTGATTCTGTAAGGTGGTCGGTTTGGCAACACGGCGCCAGGTATTAATTCAATTTCATGCTGAATTTCCCGAGCAGGAGGTAGTCCGGCTGGAATTTCTTCTGGAAACACATCACAGAATTCCTGTAATAGCTCTTGAACTCTTGGGTGAATTGTTACTGCAGCAGGAACCACTTCTTTCACCACCAATATATAACTAGTAGTGGACTCTTGCATAGCCTTACGACACTGTGAGTAACTAATCAGTAATTCTTCTTCTGTTTTGGTTGTGTTTTCTTCTTCTAACGGCACCAACACCATCGGACTACCATCATAATTAAAAGTGTATGTATTCTTGGTACCATCATGAATAGTTTGCCGATCATACTGCCATGGTCTTCCCAGAAGCAAGTGACAAGCGTCCATCGGAACTACATCACACCACAATTGTTCTTTGTAGGTTCCTATAGAAAAATTCACCAAGCATCTTTTTGTCACCTTGACCACGTTTTCTTTCTGTATCCACGCCAACTTATAAGGATTGGGATGTTTTTCAGTTTTTAACTGAAGTTTATCTACCATAGAACTTGATACTACATTCTCACAACTTCCACTATCCACAATGACTTGGCAAACTTTTCCTTGAACTGTACAACGAGTTCTAAAAAGGCTATATCGCTGCAGCAATTCTTCTTTCTGATTTTTAAGCAATCGTTGGATAACCAACAATGGCCCTTCATCTGCTGTAAGCAAAATAGGGACAGGCGAATTTGCAACCTCTTGACCAGACTGTTCTTCTTCTCGGTCTTCAGCCCACTCCTGTTCGTCATCCTCTAACAGTGTAATAACACGCCTGTTAGGACAACTTGAAGCAATGTGGCCAAATCCGTGGCATTTGAAACATTTTCTAGCTGGATAATTTGGGGCATTAATCGGTTTCTTGACGATTTGATTAGCGTCTGTTACTCTTGTTTGTCCACTGGAATTGGCATCATCTTTACTACTACACTTCTCCTTAAATTCTCCTTTATTGCTCCATCTGTTCTGTACCATTTTGGCTTTTTTTGCTGTTTCTCTACTTTTAGGGCTAAATTTACGGCATCTTGAAATGTCCAATACGATTGTAATTGAACCACATTGCCAATTGCCGGTTGCAACCCTTCTAAGAATCTTGCAATTGTATTTTCTTCAGGCTCCACCATATCACATTTAAGTGATAATTGTTCAAATTCTGCTCCATACTCCTCCACCGTCAACTGATTTTGTTGAATTCGATGCAACTTCAAGAACAATTCTTGCTTGTATTGCTCTGGCAGATACTTCCTTTGAAGCTCCTTCTTCATTTTTTCCCAACTGACGATTTTACTGCGTCCTTCCCTGAGTCTTGTTCGCTTCAAATTCTCCCACCATAATGACGCATTCTTCTTCAACTTGATGGCGACGAGCTTGACGATGCGATCAGGTTTTATTTCTTTAAACTCCAAGATCCTGTCAACTGTGTGAATCCAGTTTATAAATTCATCTGGATCTAATCTTCCCTCAAAGTCAGGTAAATCAACTTTGATTCCTCCATCATCATGTCTGACGTTTCCAACACGATCTCGTGTCCGTCTCCTTCCTTCATCGTCACTGGAATTGGCCTGATAGAATGGATTCACTCCTTCTTCTTGTTCATCGCCAGCTTCTCTTTGCTCGAACCTTTCTAATCTTTGCTTCAACCGCTGAATTTCTCTTTGTAAATCTTCGATCACTACTTCTTGCACCGGCCGTTGAGGATTGCGACGAGGCGGCATCTTGCCGGAGCTGAGCCATTAGTTATGTTAACTTCAGGATAATTCAATCCATTTGGTAGCTTATCTGGCTACATAGATTTAGTGCTTTCATTTGTTTTGTGTAGCCTAGTATGTTCCTTCTTTTGGGCTATAAATAGTTAGCCAATATCATGTAATAGAAGATAGATTGAGATGAATAATATTTGAGTAGTTTTTACTCTGTTTTTTTGGGTTTCTGTATCCTGAAGGATTTCAGGTGGTGATCCCTCTCTTCCAAGGAGTTCTTGGAGTTATCCGACGACCGCCACCGGATTGTCGACGTGGATTCGTCGAGACCACTCCGGTCCGGTGTCACTAGGTTAGGGTTGGGAAATGTGGTGGTGTGGAGGTGGGGATAGCCAAGTAGGAGAGGTGGTGGGGTGTGGTGGTTGGCCAAGAGATAGGGAGGTGGAGTTATGGTTGGCCGGCGGCTAGATGGGGTGGGAAGATGATTTGGTCCAGAGATATGGAAGGAAAACCTTGGCCGGTGGAGGGGAAGGTAGAGAGGATGGTAGAGACGTCGTCGACCGCGAACCCGGACTCTTCCTACGATTGATGGGTATTGCGATGCACTCACCAAGAGACTTCAACCTCTCCAAAGCTCTCTAGCTCTCACAAAACTCAAGGATGCGGAATTTTTTCATAATCATTCATTAACTTGAAAGAAACATAAGGGGGTGCTTATAAATAGCCTCATACAATGATAGAAAACTAAAAGACAACTTTGCACCTAGGGCTTTTATATGACAAGTCTCTTAAGTAAGGATAAAAGCGGAAAATGTAAACAAATACATATAATGACTTAAAAATAATTCGGCGTGATTGTGGTCGTAGATCGTCAACTCCGTCTCTGGTAAACTTTCCAGGTCTTGATGTCCTCATCAGTTATGTTGAATAGATGATCTTTGCAACTTAGATACATGTACAACCTTTCAACAAATCCATAAGCCTTTGTCCACAACTATGCATGCAAGCACTCTTGTCACATCTATGAAAATGAAGTTTATCTATACCAAGATCTTTCACACAGTATGGCAACTCAAGATAAAAAAAAAATCATTTTAATATACCATTAGAAGGAATGCACATTCATATAAATCTCGACTTGATTATTTGAAGGAATAATTAAGAGCATGCATTCTGATATCAAAACCATGTAGAAATTCATTGAATAGATTGTATTCAACACCACAACAACTACAGAGAAAGGTTACACATAACCCTCACATAAGTACACACATAAAATTTGAGAAGGTGTTTGATCAAAAACTATCAAGCATGACTATAAAATTCATGAATGGTGACTAATCAAGAAGGCTACGTATATTTTCTATCTCAGATTTTTTTAATAAATATTATAAATATGTACATTTGAAAAACTGATTCACATATTTATACATCTAGCATGAACTTCACATATAAGCAAGACCATCATATAAGGTTTTGATACAAATGAAAACAACATAACTTCTCCTTAGTGGCATTTCACCAAATAACTGATATGCAATATTCTTAAAGTTTCATCACTAAAATGAAAATGATTACCCTATCATCACAAATCATCATGAAATTTTCATAAGCATGCTTTGTTGAAATCATCACAAAATAATCTATCTAAAGTTCACTAAAACTCAGGAATGAAAGGGAGCAACCACAGAATGAACAAGAAGAAAGAAAAGAAGAAGAAAGAGAAGAAGAAGAAGGAGAAGAAGAAGAAGGAAGTGGTAAATGAAGAAGAAGAAGAAGAAGGAAGAGGAGGAGGAAAGGGGAAAAGCAAACCTGTAGCTAAGAGGAAGCCGGTCGGCTAGGGCAGGGGCGTGTTCGGGCTTCTGTCTGGGCGGCTTCTCACTCGAGAGAGAGGAAGACGCAAGGGGTGGATCGGCTCTGATGCGTGCCAACCAGAGAGAAAACGAGAGGGGGAGGCGGAGGGGTTTTCGACTTCCTCCTGGGTTCGCTCGGGCAAGAGAGACGAGAGAGAAGGGGTTTCGCCTGTATGCGGATCGGAAGAGAGACGAGAGAGGTGGGGGGCCTTCGACTTTTGCTCTGGGACGGAATGAACGAGGGAACTCGCGAGAGCCAGTGCTGAAGCGCGAATCTCTCTAATGCCAAGCGATATCCTAGCGTGCTTTGCCCGATGTTATCCAGTCGCCAACCAAGAGCTACATATCAGGCTAAAACATTGAAACAGACACTTGGCATAGTGATAGCTAGCTTTTGATTCTGGCAAGATCGGCTAGGGCTTAAGGTTGGCAGCGCCTCTGCTGCAAGAGGAGGAGTTTCGAATTAGGCTGAAGACGTTTTTGCTAGGGTTGAGACCGGTGGTTGGGAGGTTTTTTTATTGGAGAGGTGTTAGTAGAATGCGGGATTAATAATGGAAGAAAATAAGAACCTCTTTATGCTGCTGTAACAGCCGGAATTTAAACATACGCGTCGCCTCTTCTCCTTCGCGCTGCACCACCTCTTCTTCTCGTCACGATTTCCACCAAAGGCGTCGATCGAGAGCTCCGACGAACTTCCGTATCGTAGCAATGCCCATTCTCACATCATCGTCGAGAACAAGAACCATATGGGGACTATTTTTCTCTTATTTGAGAGACCGTTTTTTCTATTTTTATTTTAGCTAGAAGGAATGGATATATTTTTTCGATAAAAAGAAAGGGATCTTCATTATTGAAATTTTAATGTTAATGAATCTTCATTACTAAATTTTTTATGTTATCAAAATAGAAAAAAATTATATTTGAATATTATGATGCAAATGATATTAACTTTGTTTAAAAAATTTTAATTTGAGCTATGATTAGTAATATATGATAATCTTAATAAAAATTCAAGAGTTTTACTATATTATATTAGGATGTACACACATAATTTCTTATTTTTTAATGAACATAATCTACATGCATATATCTTCTAAAAAGGCAAGCAAATCTTATTTCTCTCAATCATAAGTTCAAGTTTTAGAATAACCTACAGCACAATTTTTTTTTCTTTGTACCTTTCTAGCAATCATTCATATAAAGGACGATTATATAAATAACATTCAAATTTTATCTATTTACATAACTAGTATGCATGTTACTTTTTGAACTATCAAGATGCTGTATTTTGAGCAAATCAGAGTCAAATTATTGAGAATTTGACAAAAAAATACATGTTTTAATTTTATTATGCATTTTTATATTTGGTGACAATTTGAAAAATGATAATTAGAAGTTTGTTAGTTTTGTAAGTAGCCAAATTTGGAGTGCTATGTATATAATAACTTTTATACTTTGTGCATAATTTATATATGTGTGTACATGACCAATTTGCAGATGAATATCTATAAGCAATGGACATATTTGCATGTGCAGCCAAATTCATGGACAAAATTCGCTCGCCGAATGGATTAATGTGTGGATTAAAATAGGTAATACTATTAGCGTAATTCCCTATGAAATTGCTTACCTTTAAAAAAATAGCAACTTCTCACCTCAAACTTGATATTCAATTTTCTTTCTTGCCTAACAGTTTTGGTGATGAGAGCTTTATTTAGTTCTTCTGTTATTGATTTATTTATAAAAACTAAACAGAGTACTGAATTTGACCATAAAATAAAAATGTAACAAAATAATTTTATTTAAAAGTGTGGATAGTTAATTCTATAAAATTATGAGTCATATAAAACTAATTACATATTTTGTATTTACTCATTTTCCGCACTAAATTTTCTATGGATCCAAAATATCTACAAGCTCCAAAAGAATTTGCATGTGCATGTACTGACCAAATTTGTGTATGAATATCTACAAGCTTAGGATGAATTTGCATGTCCATGCGCAGACCTAATTTCTGGACAAAATTGACTCGCTGGATTAATGTGTGGCTTAAAATAAGTAATATTATTAGAGTAACTTGATATTAAATTGATTAGCTTTAAAAAGTAGCAATATTTGCTATAAAACTTGATATTTAATTTCCTTTCTTGCCTAATTTCTTTGGTGATGAGAGCTTGATGTACTTCATATGTTCCAGATTTAATTATAGCAACTAAATGGAATGTTGGATCTGATCATAAAATAAAAATATAATAAAATAATTTTATTTAAACATGTGAATAGTTAATAATTCTAAAAATATCTCAGTCACAAGAAACTCCATACCTACTTCGCATTTACTCATTTGGCACACTAAATTTGCGTTGGATCCAAAATATATATACGCTACCAAAAAAATTTGCATGTGCATGTAATGACCAAATTTGTGGATGAATATCTACAAGCTCATGACAAATTTGCATGTGCATGTGCATGCCAAATTTGTGGACAAAATTGGCTCACCTAACAGATCAATGGGTGGCTTAAAATAGGTAATACTATTAGAGTAACTCGCTATTAAATTGCTTACCTTTAAAAAGTAGCAACTTCTGCTCACAAACTTGGTATTCAATTTTCTTTCATGTTAAATTTCTTTTGTGATGAGAACTTAATGTACTTCTCTGACAGCTGATTTAATTATAGCAACTAAATAGAGTGTTGAATCTTATCATAAAATAAAAATGTAACAAAATAATTTTATTTAAACATATAAATAGTTAATAATTCTATAAATAGATCATCCACAAGCAACTCCATAACTACTTTCCATTTACTCATTTGCCACATAAAATTTGTGTTGGAACTAAAATATCTACAAGATCTGAACGAATTTGCATGTGCATGTACTGACCAAATTTGTGGAAGAATATCTACAAGCTCATGACGAATTTGCATGTACATATGCATGCCTAATTTATGAACGAAATTGACTCACCGGACTAATGTGTGGCTTAAAATAGGTAATACTATTAGAATAACTCGCTATTAAATTGATCACCTTTAAAAAGTAGCAACATCTGTTGTAAAACTTGATATTCAATTTCCTTTCTTGCCTAATTTCTTTGGTGCTCAGAGCTTGATGTAGTTCTTTTATTGCTGGTTTAATTATAGAAACTAAATGGAGTGTTGAATCTTATCAAAAAACAAAATAATTTTATTTAAATATGTGAAAAGTTAATAATTCTATAAATATATCAGCCACAAGAAACTTCATACCTACTTTGCATTTACTCATTTGTCGCACTAAATTTGCGTTGGATCCAAAATATTTACAAGCTCCGAACGAATTTGCATGTGCATGTGCAACATTTACATGTGCATGTACTGATCAAATTTGTGAATGAACATCTACAAGCTCGGGACAAATTTGCATATGCATGTGCAAGCCTAATTTGTGGACAAAATTGACTTGGCGGACAAATGCGTGGCTTAAAATAGGTAATATTATTAGAATAACTCGCTATTAAATTGATACCCTTTAAAAAGTAGCAATATATGCTCTAAAACTTGATATTTAATTTTCTTTTTTGCCTAATTACATTAGTGAAGAGAGCTTAATGTACTTCTTATGCTGTTGATTTAATTATAGCAACTAAATGAAGTGTTGGATCTGATCATAAAACAAAAAAATAATAAAATAATTTTATTTAAACATGTAAATAATTAATAATTCTATAAATATATCAGTCAAAAGTAATTCTATACCTACTTCGCATTTACTCATTTGCCACACTAAATTTGTATTGGATCCAAAACATCTATACGCTACGAACGAATTTGCATGTGCATGTACTAACCAAATTTTTGTATGAATATCTGCAAGCGCAGGACAAATTTGCATGTGCATGTGCATGCCAAATTTGTGGACAAAATTGGCTCACCTAACAGATCAATAGGTGAATTAAAATAGGTAATACTATTAGAGTAACTCATTATTAAATTGATTACCTTTAAAAAGTAGCAACTTCTACTCTAAAACTTGGTACTCAATTTCCATTCATGCTAAATTTTTTTGGTGATGAGAGCTTGATGTACTTCTCCAGCAACTGATTTAATTATAATAACTAAATAGAGTGTTAGATTTGATCATAAAATAAAAATGTAACAAAATAATTTTATTTAAACGTGTAAATAGTTAATAATTCTATAAATAGAACACCCACAAGCAACTTCATACCTACTTTTCATTTACTCATTTGTCACACTAAATTTATGTTAGAGCAAAAATATCTACAAGCTCCGAACGAATTTGTATGTGCATGTGCATAATTTACATGTACATTTACTGATTAAATTTGTGGATGAATATTTATAAGTTTAGGACAAATTTGCATGTGCTTGTGTAGGCCTAATTTGTGGACAAAATTAACTCGCTGGACTAATGTGTGTGTTAAAATAGGTAAAACTATTATAGTAACTCACTATTAAATTGATTACCTTCAAAAAATAGCAACATCTGCTCTAAAACTTTATGTTCAATTTCTTGCTTAATTTCTTTGGTGATTAGAACTTGATGTAGTTCTTCTGCTGCTGGTTTAATTATAACAACTAAATGGAGTGTTGGATCTTATCATAAAATAAAAATAAAATAAAATAATTTTATTTTAATATGTGAATATTTAATAATTCTATAAATATATCAGCCACAAGAAACTTCATACTTATTTTACATTTACACATTTGTCGCACTAAATTTGTGTTTAATCCAAAACATATACAAGCTCCAAACGAATTTGCATGTACATGTGCATAATTTACATGTACATTAATGACTAAATTTGTGGATGAATATCTACAAGCTCAGGACAAATTTGCATGTGCATGTCTAATTTGTGGACAAAATTGGCTCATCGAACTGATCTATGTATGGCTTAAAATAGTTAATATTGTTAGAGTAACTAGCTATTAAATTGCTTACCTTTAAAAAGTAAGCCATTAAATTGTTTACCTTTAAAATAGTTAATACTGTTAGAGTAACTCGTTATTAAATTGCTTACCTTTAAATAACATCCAAATTTTATCTATTTACATAACTAGTATGCATGTTACTTTTTGAACTATCAAGATGCTGTATTTTGAGCAAATCAGAGTCAAATTATTGAGAATTTGACAAAAAAAATTCATGTTTTAATTTTATTGTGCATTTTTATATTTGATGACAATTTGAAAAATGATAATTAGAAGTTTGTTAGTTTTATAAGTAGCCAAATTTGGAGTGCTATGTATATAATACCTTTTATACTTTGTGCATAATTTATATATGTGTGTACATGACGAATTTGCAGATGAATATTTATAAGCACTGGATAGATTTGCATGTGCAAGTGAAGGCCAAATTCATGGACAAAATTGGCTCGTCGGATGGATTAATGTGTGGATTAAAATAGGTAATACTATTAGCGTAATTCCCTATGAAATTGCTTACCTTTAAAAAAATAGCAACTTCTCACCTCAAACTTGATATTTAATTTTCTTTCTTGCCTAACAGTTTTGGTGATAAGAGCTTTATTTAGTTCTTTTGTTATTGATTTATTTATAAAAACTAAACAGAGTATTGAATTTGAACATAAAACAAAAATGTAACAAAATAATTTTATTAAAAGTGTGGATAGTTAATTCTATAAAATTATCAGTCATATAGAACTCATTATATATTTTGTATTTACTCATTTTTCGCACTAAATTTTCTATGGATCCAAAATATCTACAAGCTCCAAAAGAATTTGCATGTGCAT